GTCATTGTTCACACATGCATATTCCAGTCTACTCTCCTTGGTTGTCAGGTTACATCAGTGTGGTGCAAACCATTCTCATTATATTAACAATGGAGAGACTTTTTCTGGACAGACCTCGTATATAGTTGTTGACATCTGCAGTTCCAGATGCCATTACTTGTTGCACCTAGGCTACTTTGTTTTGTAACACTTACATTTCCTTATTTGTACAATAGAAATAATAAAATGGCTTATGATACTCATTGGCATGTTTGTTTTGCTTATTTTGGAATAAACTGATCAGTAAAGAGCTATGCAAGTTGTGCTTATTACTGTTGGTATTAAATTCCAGTATCATAATCTGAAGCCAAACCAAGTCTCCTTGGAGGACAACATCAAAATAGAGTGCATAAGGAATCAGTGGGGAACACACTGGGTAAATAAGATTCATTTTAAATGTCAGTTCTGAAAGCTGAACACTTTCTGCAGATACTGTGTTGGATGAAAGCTTTTTTTTTTTTTTTTAAATCATCTTTACTGTGAAAATAATGCAATTTTCCTTAAGTGTTTAGAGTTCCCTATCAAATAGGTAATAGGTAATGATTACATGAGTAAACATTAGCTTGGATTGGGGCTGTTCATAACTCTGTTCTGTGTTATACTAAATTGGAGATTTGTCCTCCTATCAAATTTAGTTCATGTGGTAAAAATTCTGTATAAATACTGACTTCTGTGGCCATTTGACTAGGAAGAACTACCATGTTCTAAAGTTAATTTTTGCAATCTTTGGTGTTGAAAGTTTTGCACCAGACAAATGGTTGAATTTGTTTCTTTAAAATTTTTTTACCCTAGCCTTAACCTCTCTTTTAAGAGAGGTTAAGTTATGAAATTGGAGGAAAATCAATTTTCAAAGTGTTTGCAGTTGCAGTTTCGTTGAAAGAATAGCCTTACAAAATTTTAAGAGTGAGTTTTTAAATGTAGGTTAATATACAATTCTGTTTATCCTGAAGTTGTTTATGTAAAAAATACTTACTTACATAAAACTCAGGTGCTGGTTAACCTGAACAGTAAGTTTGTTAGATGCTTAGAGCTGTGAACAGTCATGATTTTGTTTTTAATCTTGAACACATCCATTAGTGTTTTTGTACTTTTTCTATTGAATTCAGAGTTACATATGCCATCTATTTAAGTGCTTTAGGACTTACTATGAGAGGTTTTATATGAAAAACCTTGGTTGATAATTTTCACAGAAATGAAGGTATATCCATTGTTAGAAGAGTATTGAGTAGTATGTTTCAAGAGTTGATAGGCTTATTAATAGCTGGACTTTAAAATTTCTAGTGTCAACATTACAAGATATTCTATTAAGGTGGACTCTGAATTCTTATTTCAGGTTATTAAAATACAAATTGTAGCAATAGTTTTTATATTAGTGTAACTCACTTTAATGTTTTAAAAATTAATAAAATAAGGTAGGCATAAGTAATTGGTCAGTACAGTACAGAATATTTATATAACAAGAATGAAATTTGTTACATGCTGCAAACTTGGGCTCTTAACCAAAGCCAGAGAGAAGTTCAGTCTTGGTTAAAGTTGAGGTAGTGGTGATCTCTGGAAAGGATAGGTCTAAAGGATAGGTCTCCTTTGTATGAGAGTTCAGAGGACTAGTTCCTCAACACATCACTTGAATTTTCTAAATTTGGATTTGCCTGTAATAAAAGAGGTTGAACTTGGTCATCCTCCAGGGTTCATTCTAGCTCTGGATTTTTTGATACCTGGCAGAGGGGGAGATCCTACATGTATCATATGTTAACCCTATATTTATTTTTTGGGTATTCAGCTTCAAAGTTTAACAGAGTCTGGTCTTCCTCTTTTTGAAGATCAGCTTATGCTTTAAAAGTATGTAGCACTAATGCATAACTGTCCTCTTGCTTGCCAGTCTTAACTCTTAAATCTCAAGAATTATTCTTGGACAGGCTGTTGGTCGATAGTGTTGCTGGTTGACAAGCTCTGCAGATTTTGGGAGCATTATTAAAGGTTACTTTGGTAACTAAGGATCAAATTAACAAGTATGACCTGTATAAATTTGAATAATGACTTAACACCCCAGGACATACAGTAGGCATTTAATGGCAGGAAGTGGGTAGGTGAGATCTATCAACCTTGTTCAATAATAGTGTTCTTTGCCATTTAAAATCAAAACAGCGGTAACATGCTCTTCTCTTGTATCCATGATGTTTAGGGTCCAAGTGAAGTAACCCTGAAATGATGTTTGAAGTAGTAAAACTTCCCAGATGAATCCTGAAACAGACTGGCGTTTATTTGATTCTTTAATGGGGTACAGTTGTTCTTTACTGCAGCATAACTAAGAGAACTCTTTTAAAATGTCTCCAATTTTGGTACACACAGAATCAGAGTCTGAGGGCAAAGGCCAGGCATTCATATGTTGATAAAGCTTCTAGGTGGTTGTAATACTCACCCTTAATTAAAAACACTATGTGCCCTGGTTGGGTAGCCCAGGTGGTTAGAGCATTGTCCTAATAAGCCAAGATTGCAGGTTCGATCTCTGGTCAGGGCACATTACAAGAACCAATGAAAACATCAATAAGTGGAACAGCAAATTGATGCCTCTCCCTCCCGGTTCCTTCCCCTCTCTCTAAAAAGCAATAAAAATTAATACAACAGTAAAAATTCACTTTTGAAACTATATTACTAGAAATTTAAAACTTACGTTGACAGTGGCTTTTATTGTGAAATGTCCCCTCAAATTTTATTTTACCACTAGTATATATATATATATATATTTTATAAAGATTTTATTTATTTACTTTTAGAGAGGGGGAGGGAGGGAGAAAGGGAGAGAAACATCAATGTGTAATTGCCTCTCACACACCCCCTCCTGGGGACCTGGCCTGCAACTCAGGCTTGTACCCTAGACTGGGAATCGAACCAGCAACCTTGTGGTTCACAGGCCGGCACTCAGTCCACTGAGCCACACCAGCCAGGGCCACAGGTAGTATTTTCATAACAATAATAAGTTAGTATGTAATTATTATATAGTATGCTATATGATAGGCACTGTCTTAAGTGATTTGCTTGGGTTTTCTCATTTAATGCCCACAACTACTCTCTGAGGTTCTTTAACCCCATTTGAGAGACTGAAGCACAGTAAAGTATATAGAGGGATGTGCAAAAGTAGGTTTACAGTTGTTCAAATGGAAAAAGACATACAGGTTATGGTTATAAAATACAAGAATAAACTCGTTTGCTTACTCACAATTGTAAACCTACTTTTGTCTACTCATGTATACAAGGTCATGCAACTTGCTGGTGTTGGAGTCAGCATTCAAACTCAGCCAAAGGCAGTTTGACTCCAGAGCTCTACCTTTGTAACTACTGTGCTAGAAGGACCTACCTTATTGCTTACAAAGGGTAAATAACAAAAGTGACTCCTTTTATCTCATACTTCAGACTCCCAAATATTTTTCTCAAAGGCAGTCAGTATTAACAAAATCTGTTTTGTGAATCCTTCCATCAATTTTCAATGTGTACACTATAACATGTAAAAATAAGCATACAAGCCTTTTTAACATATACACAGATGGGATTTTATACTTTTTACCCCTAACATATCTTGGAAAGATCTTTCCACATTAGTACATATACATTTAATCTTTTTTTCTTTCTAAAATTGACAGTAATTACACTAGTAATAAGTTTATTTTGTATATTAATCAATGATGTGGACATGTATGGGAGGCAGAAGTCTTTCTACTGAACTGGGTCAGCATGTAACTCAGAAGAAAACCCACTTTCCTGTTATACGGAATCTCTTAAAACAAAATTCAGTAATAGATTGTTATTATTGTTTGCATTCTCTTTGGTGCTTTCTGTTTGCATCAGTTTCTCTAATGTCATTTGATCATTTTCTTCCTTTCCCAGTAGACAGAAGTAATTAAGAACTCTACTTCTAGTCTGATTTGAGGTTTAAGAAAAGTTGTGACAGATTTGGTTTATACAAATGGTAATTCTTTCTATAATGGTAACATTAGCCTGTTTTTTCAGTCAATCTGATTTTCTTTGAGCATCAGCATGTTTCTACATTATAAATTTCTTATAGAAAGATAAAAAGTTCAGATTAACAACCGTGCTTTGAGCTAACTTGTTAACATGGACTATATTCACGATTTCTTGTTGCTAAAAACTCTGTGCGGTAGATGATATACTGATTTTAAGGAAAAGGCAAACAAAATCTAGAGATTAAGTTTATTGTCCGAGGTCACAACCAGCACAGCTGATGTTGAAATCCAGGATATCTGGGACTGTTTCTCAGTTTACTGTACTTGAGCTACTTTCTCCTCATTTCTCTATTAAAATATGGTAATTTTATGGTTTTCTTTGTATTTATGATTTGTTATTCAAAACAATACTGTGAATTAGGCATGATGTGTTTTTTTTATTTCCTGGCTGAGGAATCTGAGGCCAGGGGTTGTGGTTTGTACAAAGGGAGACAGACTCCTTTTGTACCTGTTCTGTCGCAGGATTCGAACCAAGGTGTTCTGACCTGAGGTGCATTGTCCTTTTCTACAATGTCAAAAATGTGGGAACAAACACATTTCGACTTGTGCTCTGTTTTCTTTGAACTGGGAATTTCCTGGACATTTCATGAGAAATCTAAGTTAATTTTCTGTGCTGTGTTCTATCTAGACTTCATGCCTTGAATTTGGTATATTTCTTTTTTTCTGTTTTGTTAAATTTTATTTTTAAATCATGTTTTCTATTACAGTTGTCTCAGTTTTTTTACGTTTTACTTTTAAATCATGTTTATTAGAATTTGGTATATTTCTGACATTTTATAACATGCTAGTCAGTCAGACTTACTTAGTGTAATAAGACAGTACAGCATTTGTGAAGACTACAACCAAATCGTTACATAAAATTTCCCCTTCATCTTTGTTTTTTATTTGTTTTGTGTTGTAACACATACAGCTGATGTTTTTTTCTTATTTTTTTCCTTTTAGTGAATGGTAGTGTCTAGAAAGGGTATGTCCCTTCAAGAGAGAGGTGCCAATGTCCAACCGGCCTAATAACAATCCAGGGGGGTCACTGCGACGTTCACAGAGGAACACTGCCGGGGCCCAACCACAAGACGACTCAATAGGAGGAAGGTATGTATTAAATGGTATTTGAAGAGGAATTGGGAATAAAAGAAAATGTTTTCAAAACCTCATTATCAGGGCCTTGGCTGGAGTGGCTTGGTTAGGCGTCATCCTGCAATCTGAAAGGTCACAGGTTTGATTTCCGGTTGGGGCACGGGCCTGGGTCGTGGGTTTGGTCCCTGGTTGGGGTGTGTTCGAAAGGCAACTAATCAGTGTTTCTCTCTCACATCAGTATTTCTCTCTTTCCCTTTCTCCCTAGCTTCCCCTCTGTAAATACATACATACATACCCACCCCGTTATGCGGACCAAAACTTGAATGGTTTACTACAAATGGGTATTTTTTTTTTTAATGTTTGAGCCAAGAAACACAACTAAAACAGGGATTCAAAGCAGTTCTTTAATCATTCCCCAAATATGCCAGGCTCAGAATATGGTTCTCAGTCATTGACATTATCAAAAATATAATGAAAGGTTGTTAGTGAACAGAATATCATGCTTTGTTTCCTCTTTCACATCCCTAAACACATGTTACAACACATCTTTAAACCCATTGTGGTCCCTTTCTTTATGTATGGCTTGACTTTATTGAATGGAAGCTTCATTTGTTTTAAGATCTTGAGTTTTGACACCTTATGAGGTTTTTTCCCCTCATTGTCTTTACAACGTGGTGCTTGACAGCCTGATGAGGCAGTCTGACTTTGTTAGCACATCAGTTCTCGTCATTTTCTTAGTTGTCTGCTGTTCAGCTGGTCTGTCGTTGGAATGGTTGTTGTATAGGCAGTAGTGTAAAGAATCAGATGTGTTCTCTTGAGTGTAAAATTCCCTCTCTAATTTAGCCAAACACTGTCATTTTATATATAACTCAGAACTTGCAAAGCCTTATTCTCCAGTCCATGAATTAATCATGTTTAGTTTGCAAAAAATAATGGCTAAATTCTAATATACAGTTTTTTGAGGTGTTACCATGTATATATTGTCTGGTAAATTATAAAAATGTTTTAAAATGTTAAAATGCAAAGAATAAACTGGGACACATCTTTTTGGTGTCAGGCTATTTTAGTGGTTGAGCATGGGTCTTTGGACTAGTATAGTTTTGTATGCAGTTTCTACCTCTGCCATTAAACAGCTATGTGTCCTTTTTTGTTACATCTTTCAGGAAACCTCAGTTTCTTAGTCCATATAGTGGGGATCCCTATTTCATAGGGTTATTGGTTAACTTCATTATTGTACATTAAACTCTTAGCGCAGTGTTTATTTTTGTATGGAGTTCTGCTCTGAAATTGTTTTTTGTTTTTTTTAGATTGAGATAATTCTTTACAGCAGCCACACATTATTTATCCTGTTGATTAAAAAATATCACTGCCCCCTTATAAAAATGTTATGTATTTATTAGAAAATTTGGAAAAAACAAAAAATGCAAATAAAACCATGACAGCTCTACAATCCAATTATAACCAGTTACACTGACCTATATATCCTGTTTTTTACTGCACATGTGTGTATGTGTGTGCATGTGAATGCCCATAAGTAATTTGTATCTTTTGAATAGTTGCAGTTCTATACATGTTAATCCTCAGGTTATACTTAGACACTTGCACATGACTGATAAACATTTTTGGTTGTCACATAGTACATTGCTTCTAAATCCACAGTGATGTTTTGGCACCATTATCTTTTCGACACATCAGTATTATGTAAAATTATTTAAATATTATGTCATATTTAAAAAATACGAGCATGAAACAAATGAAAGTGGTTAATGCTAGTTATTAGATGCATTGGTTTACATAACGAAGTTTTCAAGATAGAACTCAATTAGATTTATAGAATGACATAATGTTTCACTGTAGTTCATGTGTTTTAAGCCAGTCACTTATGTGCTCAGTTGTGAAGGAAAAGAATAAAATTTTAAAATGCATTTGGAATGTCAGAAAACATGCCAAAGAAAATAAAGCGAAGTATAATTAGGGTTTTTATGGGTTTAGCACCCCTGCTCTTTCAGTAATGTAGCCCCAGTTCAGTTCTCATAATTTTAACTTTTACATGTCTTTAGAAAACATTTCCCCACAAAAACAGTACACAAGAGGGGCTGTTTTCTTTTTAAAAAACCTATTATCATGTGTAATTTTTCTGTATCCTTAAAAATTGTTGAAAAACATGACTTTTAAAGTCTTTATGTTCACTTGTGTGGCTATACCATAATTTACTAATAACCTTGAATATATAGATTTTTCCTATTTTATATGGATAAATAAAATTATCAGGAAATAGAAAGTTATATTTTTTAACCAAAAATTTTTATCAGCTCGACTAAGTTGAACTTAGTCAAATTAGTCAAAATTAAAAGATAATTTGCTCAACTGAATTTCATTTTACCGCCTTTTCCAGTTTGATTCCTTTGCTTCAGATAGAATCTCAAAACTGAAAGGGACCCTTGCATCAACCCCCAGACTGACTTTTGGAGCCCCAATAGAGTATTAGTATTACTCTACTAATAATTTTCTAACCTTTAAGAAACTCATGATTTTTATGAGTGAGAGGATTGGGATTAATTGGGAGAGAGCAATTATAACTGTATTTTCATTCTCTTTATTCTGAGTTCTGCAGCTTTGCTTTCCTAAGTAAAATGCTGTTATTGTGGCTTTTGTTTCCTAAAGACAGTGGACTTGGTTTTGTAAGTACAGTGTCCAGCATAAGTAACGCCTGCTTGACTGTGGTTTGTAGGGTAGCAATATGGATGCAATGATTTATAGTTTTTTAAAACTATAAAATACTTGAACATTTCGCCTAAAATGTCATATGGTGTGCTTAAGTGTGATATTGTTATGTTAGAGAATTACTAGGTGATGATTTCGTAATAAAAGATTTTGTAATAAAAGATTTTGTAATAAAAAACAGGGGTGTTATTTGTGCCAGACTATATTCACAGCAGTAGTGATTCAAAAATGGTAATAAATAACAGCATCTACTACAACAGCACTGGTGTGGAATGTTTTAAGTTAAAATATTTTATACTTGTTCTTCCAGTTGAGACTCACAGAAACTCTGTGCTAAGTATATAATCCTTGTGTGATAAACGTGATAGCTTGCTCAACTTTACCCAGTATGTAGAGTTTAGGACTTGATTCCTGACCTCTTGACTCTAAAAAGTTAGTGATTCTTTTCATTATGCCAGACCGTTTTTTACTGCACAAACCACTTAAGTCATATGATGAAGGCCTTAGAGGAAGGTATGAAGTAATTATAATTGAAGAGTATTAATTCATCCAGTTTAAAAGTTAAGTAGCATTTTTTCCTTGATAGAATTTTTTGATTATTTTTGATTCACTCTGTTTCCTTCCAAACTTGCATTAAGCTGCCTTCTTTTCATCATTTTCTTCCTGTGACCTCCCCAGCTCTTCCTCCAAATTAAGGTCACTACTTTTTTTTCAGTAGAGTTTCTCATCCTTAAAATAAAAGAATGCTGGATCTTTGGGATACAGTATATTAATCTCTCCTGATTATTCCCTCTGCTCTTTTCCACTCATCCTTTATCTTTTTCCATAATTGAACTAGACATCTTCCTTTATTTTTCTCTTATCCTTTTTTCGTAAATTTTTGGGCCACAGCTGATCTGTTCCTCTCTTTTCTATTCTCTTTTTCCTCTTTAGTAAATCACTTCTTTCCACTGCTTCTCTCTTTCTTGGCTTGCTCTCAGAGATACTTCCTAGCCTTTTCCACTTCTAGTACAGGTATTTGTAGGCTCCCTCTTCCTCTTGGCTGTGCAGTAGCATTTTTATTATATCATAGGCTTTTTCTTGTTTTTCTCAAATGGCAGTGGTGGGATTGAATTCAGTTTTAAGGCAACCTTGTTTAAGACTGCTGTAGTGATCATTTCTTCTTTGATACTATTTTTGTTATAAAAATGCAACATTTTGACAAAAGAACATTGAGAAGCTTCAGGAAAATTAAGAAAATAAGATAAAATTTAATATGAGCACACAGAGATAGAGGTGGTTAATGTTTCTACTCTATTTTTACTTAATGATTTTTTTTGATATTGAAAGCTCATGATTTAAATTTGGGCCTCCAGTTTTTTCCCCCAATTTTTTGCTGTAAAATGCATTCCTATTCCTATCGCATTTGAGTATGGCTGATTTTATCAAGTTAAATTCCATAAATAGGTTTATTGGACCTATGATACAAATATTCTGAAGACTTAACAAATTGCTAAATTGTCTTTCACAAAGATCAAACTGCTTTATGTATGTCTTTTTTTTTTTTTATTGTGCCAGTTTATGCTGCTACAAATACTTCGTGAGAGTGCCTGTTTCTCCATATCCTAGTCAAAACAGCATAGCATTTTTAATAAAAGTTTGTGGAAAAAAGAATTCTTTTGGTTAAAGCTACCATTTCCCTGGTTACTGTAGAGTTAAAGATTTTCCCACATATTGGCCATTTTTACTTATTTTTTGAGTTGTCTATTATTGTCCTCCGTTTTAATTAAGAAGGTGCTTCTTGTTCTTTTATTAGAGCCTTTTATGGAAAGGGCATCAACCCACTGACGGGCAAATATTTTTGCTAGCTTTATTCCTTATTATGGTTTGTTTTTAATTATAGAAGTTCTAAAAATTAGATAATTGAGTCTATCAACTTTTTGTTTCTTCTTTCTCCATCTCAAAAGTAAAATTTTCTTCTCAGTTCTGTTGTGGCTTCATTTTTAAATTTTATTGTACTCTGTCAAGTTTTTTAATGGTGTGAGGCAATGATTGAATCCGAACTAACTCACGTTCCCCCACCCCCATTAAAAATTTGTAATTTTTTAAATTATTACTGAGTAAAAGCTCAGTTATGAAATCTGTAAGTTACAGCTTTTTTGTCAGAACAGGGATATGGATACTTGTAGCCAGCATTAATTATACAGAAAGAAATAGATTTGTAGTTTGCTTCAAAAACTATTTCAAAGGTATGGGATACAGGAAAACACAAAAAGAAAATAAATATCCACAGCTAAGCCTGGGTTAACATT